TATCATTCTTGGCTTCTTTCCATCCTTAAGCCAATGCTATCTTGGGGTCTGTGTTTTCTTTGTTGCCTTCTGGGTGAGGTTGTTCTATGTGGAAGTCTTTTATTTATGCTTGGTGAGTATTGTTCTTCTGCCCATACTGGGTCAGCAAGGATCTTTTGTAGGGCTGGGTTTCTTCTAACGTATTCTTTGAGTTTTTCCTTGTCTGGGAAGACTCTTACCTCTCCATATATCTTGATCGATAATTTGGCTGGGTAGAGTATTCTTGGGTTTGCGTTGTTTTACTTCAACTTTTGGAATATTTTACTCCACTCTTTCCTCTTCTTCATAGTTTCTGCTGATAAGTCTGAGTATATTCTTATTTGGGAACTTTTATATGTGATTGCTTGTTTTTCTCTAGCTGCTCTCATGATTTTTCTCCTTTTCCTCAAAGTTGGATAGTTTAACTATTATGTGCCTTGGTGACTTCTTCCTGGGATTCAGTCTAGCTGGTGTTCTTTCAGCCTCCTGAATTGTTGCCTGGTTTTCATTCATTAATTTGGGAAAGTTTTCCTTCAAGAGTTCTCTCACTATTGTTGCAGATGACTTCTTTGTTGTGTCCTCCTTCCGGTATGCCAATAATTCTAATGTTGTTGCCCTTCATAGCATCAGACATAGCTCTTATATTTTCTTCAGCATCTCTGATGATCTTATTAAATTTATGTTCGCGTTTGTTGAAGTCTGCTTGGCTGTCCTCCAAGTCACTGATGCGCTTCTCTGATTCCTCCTGTCGATTCTCAAGCTCTGTGTTTCTGCTATTGGTTTTTTGTTATCTCCTCTCTAAGCTCCTGTATTTCTCTTTGGTGTATGGCCTTTATCTCCTCTATCATTTCATCCTTTTTCTGTATTGTTTCCCTCATATCCTGTATGATGCCAAGTAATATTCTGAAAATTTCTTTCTGTGGCAGCTGAGTGTCTGCTTCTTCTATGTATGTTGTTATGTTCGGGATATATTCTGCCATTGCTTTTTGTTTCTACTGTTTTTTTGTTGAGGTGGTTGGGGCTGATGGCTGTTTGCATTGCATTGTTTTAGAGGAGCCAGGTGCCATTTTCTAGGGAGTCTAAGAGCACTAGCTCTCTCTAGGAGACTTGTAGGAATGCTTCTTCGAACTGCCTACAGCTAATTATTACTATGGCATTAGCCTACCCTTTATCTTCCTGTGGCTTCCCTATCAGGGGAGTGCCCCAGGAGGCTGGTAGGTTGCCTGCTTTTGTGTTGTGGAGGTTGGGCAGAGGTTCCTGCAACAGCTTGAAATGGTGATAAGTGTTGGCCGAGCTGCCTTATGGCCCCAGGTACACAGGCAGGAATTCCCCAGTGAGGGGTTGGGCGGTGTATCCCCTGGAGGGGAAGCAGGTCTTTCTCTAGCCTTGGGCTAGCTACACAGGGTGGGGATAGCTACACAGGGTGGAGCTCAGCTAGCTGGGTGTGGTACAGGCTTAAGTGCCCTATGCTACTGGGAGTGGTCTGGAGGTCAGCAGTGGAATGTGAGAGAACAGGAAAGAGACAGAGCGGAAAGAAAAAAATTAAGATGTAAGACCGTTTATACTGCGCGGAGTGGGGGTGGGGGGATATAGGGGTGAGGGGGGGGGAAGCAACTATGTAGCTGAGTCCCACTCCCCTTCAGTGGATCTGCAAGAGTTTAGTCCCTACCCTGAGGCAGCGTCGGCAAGCAGTTTCCATAGTTGAGCTGAGAAAAAGCCCCTGAGCATCCCTCAAAGACCATGGGGGTGGGGGTTGGGCAGACAGAGGGCAGAGATGTAAACAGAAGCAACAATGTAGCTGAACCCCGATCTATCGCTGATCCCTGCCTGTGGAGTTGGGAGGGTTTAGTCCCCACGCCGAGGTGGAGTTAGCAAGCTGTGGCTGTGCCGAGAAAAAGCCCCTGTACAGGCCTCCAAGACTGTGGGAGAACAGAGAGCAGAGATGTAAACAAAAGCTACAAAGTAGCTGAAACCCGTCTGTGGAGCTCCAAGGGTCCAGTTCCTGTCCTGAGGCTGGTGGGGGTTAACTGTGGCTGTGTTGAACCCAAATCCCCCTATGGGCTCCAAATGGTCCTGGCTCCTGCAGAGACAGTGGCAGGGCCAAGGTCAAGCCCCAGCCGGCTTCCACTGAGGTAAGCCAAAAGCCCCAAGCCCCTCAAAACCCCATGGGTCTGTGCCTACTTATCTCTATGATGCTCCTCCTGCGTTCTAGTTGTGTTAAAGTTCCCTCTAAGCAACTCTCCTGGGCTGGATTCTTCAGAGTCCCTCTGGTATGTGTCACTCCATCGCCATCTTCCCGAAGTCTCTCCCCTTTCTCTTTTAAAAAAAATATGGAACACTTCATTAATTTGTGTGTCATCCTTTTCCACGAGCCATGCTTATCTTTTCTGTATCATTCCAATTTTAGTATATGTGCTGCCGAAGCGAGCACCACTCTAATTTTCGTAAAATGACCTGGCTGCTCACAGCAGATCCCATTGTGGAACAGATTACATTGTGGTAGGTCATATCACTGAGAATCCTGGCCCAACCAAGTTGACATAAAATCTAATTATCACATAATTAGGTTCTCTCACTTATGAATTTCTGTCTTTAGATAGTAACTGTGGTTTTATTACTTGCACACACACACACACACATAATTTAAAATTGTGGTTAGGGGAAAGTTTAAAGAGCAAATTAGTCTTCCATTCAGTAATTTATACACAGTTTGTTTTCTGAAACTGATTGCAATTTCTATCACTAATCTTGTTTTTCATTCTTTTTAAAATAATTTTCTGTTTAAATAATTATGCTTGTGTCAAATGATATTTATGATTCTACAGGTTCTTCATGTATCATTTATAAACTTCATTTTTCTTTCACTGTACTGTCTATGTAGTACTTGTTGGAAAGTGCTGACTCTGTGTACAACAAAACAAAACTCTGCCCAGTCATCTACCAGCTTCAAAGTTGTTATGTCAGAGCTCATTGTTACAGCCATTGTGTCAATACCTCTCCTTGAGTTTTTTCTTTTTTTATGACCCTCTACTTTACCAAACACGTTGCCCTTTTTCAGAAACTTGTCCCTCCTGGTAACACTTATAAAGAGCATGTTGGCTATACTTATTCCAAGACAGATTTATTTATTCCACATAGCATTTATGAGGCCTCAAAGAGGTTAAGGAGTAATTTTTTAAAGTAAAAATATGGGAAGGATAAATTGTGTTGAATTTATATGACAACATTGAGTAATAACTATTGTAGGCAATGAAAATTTGATATCTGCTCTAACTGTGTTTCCAAATAGGTCTGAGCTTTTACTTTGGTAGTGCTTAGCTCTCTCATCTACAAAACAAGACATTTGAATAGGTGATTTCTAAGGTTATTGCTGATTCTGTATTTATACTTTATTTTTATATCAAAGTGTGAACTTGATACTGGAAGTTACATCTTCAGAACTTCCAGGAAAATGCTTATATTTTTTCTTCCTAATGGGTGATAAAATGTTAGAGGAAAGTGCATCTACAAAGAGAAAAGATAAGCCAAATTAAAAAAAAAATTGTAATATGGGTACATTCAGTTTCCAATATGGTACTAGTCGGTGATAAATGTCTGAGCAATACAAGAAAATGTCTGAAAAGAAGCCAGTGTCAACAGTCCATGGCAGTATAAATTAGACGGTTGAGGCATGTGCTTGGCATGCAGGAAAATTGCCTACCTCACAAAGTGATGAGATCAACAACTCAGTATGAGAGCCATTAACAAGATGTATGGATGGAATCAAACAACAAGAGCTCAGCACTTGGGTGAAGAACTGTTATTGAAAGCATAAGGTGATTTTACTTAGCTCAGCCATGATAATCTACACACCCACCTGAATGAAAGAGGAATAGGAGGAGATAGCCTTATTAATGTTCATGCACGAAATAGTCTCTATGAGGGTGAACAGGACTCATATTCTCTCTGAAAATCATTTTGTAAACTCTTCCAATGTAAGAGAAAAAAATTTGATGTGCAGGGCAAAGAAGTCCCTTCCCTTGATCATACTGTAGATTACTTAGGAGATGAAGGTGATTTGATTATATATATATTCAAATATATGAGTTTTTAGGGGAACTGTCATGGAGTTGTTAAAATTTATATATATATATATATATGAGTTTTTAGGGGAAACTGTCATGGAGTTGTTAAAATTTACTTCCCAAATTTGCACAAGGGTCTTTTGCAGTTTGTGAAAGATCTCTTAAGTCTATACAAATTAAATAGATTGGAATTTAGTAGAATATAATTCCTGTGTCCTTTCAAAATTAAATAAAGCGATGGGAATTCTGGAAAAGTAGTAGAGACAGGATAGTTGTCAAACATATTTAAATCTCCACAGCATACAAACATAGACACTAGATAGAAAAGTCAGAAATTTAAAAAAGACAAAGCCTATTATAAAACTAAGTGTGATGGTTAGTGCTTATGTCAACTAGACACTTCTGAGTATGGATAGGGGGATCACAAAATATCAGTCAGTTCACCTCCTAATAATAGCTCCTTAGGGGTGTGGCCTTTTGTTGACAAAAAAAGGCTGGCATATGGTCCTTTTCCTTTTGCTGGAGCTGGATCTTGCATCTGGTTTCTCAATCTACTGTTGTTTCACCAACCCATCCCAGGAGTCATCATGGACCACCAATAGTGGATTAATTTGGGCCTCATGTGGATTCTTTTATTTTTTCTGAATTCACCAGCCTGTGTCACCCACTATTTGGGTTTTTTCATCCTGCTTCCTGTTCATCAGTGTCCATGAGTGAGCAGAAACCTGACTTGAATTGGACTAGATTTACGTTGGCTAAAAGCAGAGAAAACCAGGAAGATGTTTACTTGTGTTTCATTGACTATGCAAATACATTCAACTGTATGGATAAGAACAAACTATGGATAGCCTTAAGAATGGGAATTAAAAAAAAAAAAAAGAATGGGAATTCCAGAATGCTTCATTGTGCTCATGTGGCACCTGTACCTGGATCAGGAGGCAGTTGTGTGAACAGAAACAAGGGACAATTATTTGGTTTAAAATTAGGAAAGGTGTATGTCAGGTTTGTATCTTCTCACCATACTTATTCAATCTGTACACTAAGCAAATAATCAGGAAAACTGGATTATATGAAGAAGAATGTGGCATAATACTTAGAGGAAGCTTGAGGCATTCAGAGGACACAACTTTACTTGGTAAAAGTGAGGAGGACTTGAACCACTTGTTGATGCAGATCAAGGTTGAAGCCTTCAGTTTGGATTACAACTCAGTGTAAAGAAAACCCAAATCCTCACAACGAGATCATCAGATAACATCTTAATAAATGGAGAAAAGATTAACATTGTCAAACTCTCACCAAAACACAATAAAATATATGAATAAAAAAAGAAAGAGAACATTGACACACGTGAAAAAAATAAAATAAGAGATTGTCATTGTCAAGGATTTCATCTTGCTTGGATCCAGAATCAGTGTTCATGGAGGCACTAGTCAAGAGATCAATAACTCACTGCATTACGTAGCTCTGTTGCAAAAAGTCTCTTTAAAGTGTTGAAAAGGAAGTGTGCTACTTTGAAGACACAGGTACTCTGAACCAAACCATGGCATTTTTAAAATCAATCATTTTATTGGGGGGTTCATACAGCTCTTATCACAATATATATATACACCCGTTGTGTCAAGCATATTTGTACATTTGTTGCCATCATTATTTTCAAAACTTCTTCTTTCTACTTGAGTCCTTGGTACCAGCTCAAACTATGTTATTTTAAGTCACTTCAAATGCATATGAAAGTTGGACATTGAATAAAGAAGAACAAAGAAAAATCAATGCATTTGAACCTCAAGGTTGGTGAAGAATATTGAAAGTGCCACAGACTGTCAGAAGACCGAACAGATCTGTCTTGGAAGTAGTACAGCCAGAATGCTCTTTAGAGCATTAGACATGTTATCAGAAAGGACGAGTCCCTGGAGAAGGACATCATGCATGGTAAATTGGAGGGGTAATTTAAAAGAGGAAGGTCCTTGATGAGATGGATTGACATAATGGCTGAAACAATGGGCTTGAATAGAAGAACAATTGTGAGAATGGTGCAGGACCAGGAGGTATTTTATTCTGTTGTACATAGGGTTGGTATGTTGAAACCAATTCAATGGCACATAAGAACAACAAAAATAGCACAAGCCTTTTCTTGATATAAATTTATTTTTATGTACAAACACATACGAGTGTCACTGGTTTTACTTCTCTCTAGAACCCAACCTAACGCACTAAGTATATGAAAGTCTTTACAAATCCTGAGCTTGGAGCAGGTAAAGATGAATCACCACAGGACCTCATGGCATCATTGTCTATTTAGGAGGAATCAGATATTAGAAAGATAAAATATAGACATTTGAAAATAAAAGCATCTCCTAAACGTGTGATAAATATTTGCTAGAAAGCAAAACAGGATCATTTGAGAACTTCAACTGAAAGTGGTGTTTTCTTCTTTTCATTTGATAGCTGGCAAAAGATGTCTGTAGTAAACTTTGAAGGGAGTGGAGTAGTCCTAGCCTCCTTGAGTTCTTAATACTGACTCCCTGGAAAGAAAGAAAAGAAAATGGGAGTAAATTTTTTACAAAAATGACTAGAATAAGAACAATAGAAAATAAATAAAGAGAAGATTAAGATAATCATAAGGAGAATGGAGTCACAGAATTAAGAACATCAAGCTTACACATTTTTAAAATCACATAAAAACTGAAAAGGAACTTCTAATATACGTCCCCTTGGGATAATAGAATAGGAAGAAACAAACAAGTCTGCAAAAAAATACTAAGGGAATCCCCCAATATTGCAAAAGAGGAGACTATAACTATCCAGCCAGCAGAGAGAACACCAAATAGATTTACTGCCCCGTCCCCCAAAAACAAAAACAAAACTGTAAGTTACACTATCGAATTTCAAGGAAAAGGAGAGAATTCTGAGAGCAGTTGGAGAGAGAGAAAAACAATAACTTACAAATGTAAACAGGCAAGAATAAGCTTAGACCTCTGCAGAAACTGAAGAAAAAAAATGGAGCAACATATTGTGAAATTTGAAAGACAAAGAAATGCCAAGCATCCTTATATCCAGCTAAGCTATCCATTAAATATGAAAGGGAAATAAAAGTATTCTCAAACAAGGATATTTTTAGAGAATTTGTAAAAAAAAAACCAACCCAGCATTACAAAAAAAATAGTTTCCAGATCTTTATGGTCAGAAAACAGATACTTGCAGTACTGAAACATGAGACCATCCACAGCAGGTGTCCTCAAACTATGGCCCGTGGGCCACATGCGGCCCGCTGAGGACATTTGTTTTTTTTAACTTCAATGTAAGATATGTGCAGTGTGTATAGGCATTTGTTCAAAGTTTTTTTTTAAACTATAGTCCAGCCCTCCAA